GTACCAGTCGTTCTCCGGTCCGGCTCCACGCCGGTTCCTGTCCGGTTCTAGTCCAGCTCTGTGTAGCGCCCTCTACACCAGTGGCGCCCAGTGCAGAGAGCCGATGGCCAGCAGCGCCTGGCAGGCGGCCGAGTCGAGCCAGACGGACTCCACCAGGCTGAAGTGCAAGAATCCGAGCGCGAAGCCGCAGCCGACATTCGACAGGTGATGCTTCCCCAGCAGGACCCGGGACACGCCCACCAGGAAGGCCCACAGATACAGCAGGATCCGGAGGGGCACCTAGGGGGCAAAGGTCAGCATGGGGTCAGCTCCGCTGAGACGCGGGCGGTGACTAGCGGCGGCCACTCACCGCCAGCACCAGGTGGTTCAGCAGGAAGCGGGACACCATGACGGCCCGGCTGGCGTGGGCGGCGGGGAACGAGTACACATCCAGGGCGACGTGGTCCAGGAACCCTGGGGGGGCGTCCCACGGCCCCCGGCGCTGCACCAGCTTCTGCACGCCCGCGATGGTCATCAGGTCCAAGAGCAGGGCTGGGGGGGTTCAAAGGTCAGCAGAGACAGACAGGTCAAAGGTCAGCAGAGACAGATGGGTCAAAGGTCATCAGGCTCACCCAGCAACAGGTTGACCAGGACTTCCTGTCCCGCCAGCGAGTTGCTGCGCCACAGGCAGAGCAGCGTCCCGCAGAGCCAGGGCAGTGCATGTCCAGAGAAGGCCAGCAGGGCCACCATGGGGCGCAGTGGGGCCCCGGGGCCACGGGCCCCAACGCACACGCCCAGACGCCTGGACAGGCTGATGTCAATGGCGAGCAGCGAGTTGATGGCGATGCCGCGGAAGGATGGGTTCAGCTGCATGCAGTCCTGCTCAGGCCAGCGGGACCCGTCTTTCGGAACCGCGTCTCCTGATGTGGCTCCTTCAGAGGAGTCCCTGGACCCCCTGGGGACACAGAGGGACAGATGTAAAGGACTGTTGATGAGAACTTTGTCACATCGTCATGGTAACAACGTTCCTACATCTCCATGACGGTGACTCTAAAGAACCTCTGACACCAGAACCAGAACATTGAGCAAGAGTGGACGGGGTTTACCCCCAATCCCTGCTCCACCTGCTGGTGGCGGTCAGAGGGGGCAGGGGTCCTGGCTTCTTCTAGCTCTTACCTCCTCACAGCGGTGGGCGGAGCCTCTTACCTCCTAACAGCGGTGGGCGGAGCCTCTTACCTCCTAACAGCGGTGGGCGGAGCCTCTTACCTCGCCATGGCGTCGTCCTGCTGACTTGGGCGTCTCGTGGCGGTTCTCCTCGCTGCTCCGGCCCGCCCCTCCCCGGCAGAGGTTTCTCTGCGGACCGGCTGGTTCAGGGACATGAACTCGGGCCGGTTCAGGACATTATTCCGGTCCCTGGGCCGGCTCCGGGTCTGGGTGCCGGGCATGGTGGCGCTGCAGTGGAGGACTGGGACAGAACCAGAGAAGCTCTGCTATAAATACACCTGCTGGCCTCCTTCTACTGCTGTCAGCTGCTCAGTGTGAGACTGTGTGTGTGTGTGTGTGTGTGTGTGTGTGCATGGGAGAATTTAGAGAAACCAATTAACCTGACAGTCATGTTTCTGGACTGTGGGAGTAAGCTGGAGAACCCGGAGAGAACTCACCATGCACAGAGAGAACATGCAAACTCCATGCAGAAAGACCCCAGGCTGGGAATCAAACCCAGAACCTTCTTGCTGCAAGGCAACAGCTCTACCAACTGCACCACTGTGCAGCCCCTTTAAAATGTGTTGAATGTATTTATAAAAATAATAATGAATGAATTATTTTATGACACTAATTGTAATTAGAGGCTGATTACAGAGAACTGGTGACCACTTTGTGTCATGGAGGGAACAGTCAAATCATCTGAAATGTGAACAAAAGGAGATGGTTGTTGGTTTCAGGAGGACCAGGGTCAAAGGTCAAAGCGTACTTCCATCATGGGAGAAGAAGTGGAGATGGTGAGGAAGATAAGAGCCTGGATGTTCATCTGGACAAGAAACGAAGGAAGAGAAAATCCTTCAGGGTTTGGATCTGCTGTCAAAACCACCAGAACCAGAGCCACCGGAGCCAGGAGCTAAAGAGGCTCAACAGCCTGATAAAGAAGGCTGGTTCTGGTTCTGTTCGGGTTTAAAGAATGCAAAGAAGAATTCTTAATTCAATCAAAGTTCTGGCAGAGCGTCTTCAGTCAGAGGCTTCTTCAGAGTCACTGTAACACAGACTGTTACAGGAGATCCTTCCTGCCATCAGCATCTACAATAACTGAAGAATCTGAATTAATGAGTCATTAAATTAGATTCACTAAATTAACGAATCTAATTATTAATTCAGAACTTTTTTAATTTTATTTTTATTCTCTCTTGACGTCACCGAGGGCTCAAACCTCGGCTACTCCTCCGGCGGAAACTTTGTTGCTGTCCTCCGTTGCTACCCGGAACATAACGGAGACGGACGGTTGCTACGGGCAGCTGACGCTGTGTGGCGGCTCGGGGCTAACCGTTAGCTTCTAACGGAGTTAAAAACCGTTTCAAAGGAGAAGAAACGTCATTAAAACGTCACAGTTCGTATGCTTGATCGGATT